TGATGATTCTTCCTCCAATCCTGATGTCACATTTCTCCTCATAAATCCCAGCCTCCCAGATAATCTGTTCTGCATAAAGATTGAAAAAGTATGGAGACAGAATAAAGCCCTGATGTATACCCTTCCCAATTTTGAACCATGCAGTGTTTCCCCGCTCTGTTCTGACGACTGCCTCCTGGCCCAAGTATAGGTTTTGCATTAGCACAACCAAGTGTTTTGGGATTCCCATTCTTCTCAGAGTTAGCCACAGTTTGTTATGATCGACACAGTCAAATGCCTTTGTGTAATCAATGAAACAAAAATAGACATACTTCTGGTACTCCTTTTCAGCCAAGATCCATCTAACATTAGCTACAATATCCCTAGTACCATGACCCCGTCTAAACCCAGACGGCATTTCTGGTAGTTACAGGGAAAATATATATTTGTATATACTGTAGATGTGTGTGTGTGTGTGTGTGTGTGTGTGTGTGTGTGTGCGTGCGCGCGCACATATGTATATTCACACACACACACACACACACACACACATACACATTGTTATTATGTGCTACCGAGTCATCTACAACTCATAGTGGCCTTAAGTACAATAGCTCTGAACCTTGCCATATCCTGAGACAATTTCACTGACTCCAACACACCTACATCCCCATCATGCCCTAGTCACTGAGTCAATCCATCTTATCCAAGGTCTTCGTCTCTTACACTGTCCCTCCACCCTTCCAAGTATGACATCTTTCTCCAAGGACTACCTTCTCCTGGAAACATGTCCAAAGTATGTGAGATGGAGCTTCAAAATTCTTACCGCCAAAGAGGAGCTCAGTTTCGCTCTCTCCAGGACAAACCAGTTTGTTCTCTTAGCAGTCCATGGTATGTTTAATGCTCTTCTCCAATGCCACAGCTCAAAGGCATCGAGATTGCTTCTATCATCCTTAGTTATTGTCCAGCTCACTGATGCATAATAGGTAATTGCAAAGATCATGGCTTGGATCACATGCATCTTGGTCTCTAGAATGGCATTGTTGCTCTTCAGCACTCTGATTCCTTGATGGCTGGTGCCAAGAGTGTTGATCATGGAACCAAACACATTGAAATTATTAACAATCAATTGGCCCAGTAGTACAAATCTTTTGTTTTCTTGATGATGAACTTCAATGCATACTGTAGACTATAGTCTTTGACTTTCTGCAGTAAATGCCTCAGGTTCTCCTCAGTTTCAGCAGGCAAGGTAGTATTATCTACATAATGCAGGTTGTTAATAATGAGTCTTCCTCCAATCCTGATGCCACATTCCTCCTTACAGAGTCTAGCCTCCTGGATAATCTGTTCTACATATAGATTTAAAAGGTATAGAGAAAAACTTAATAAAAGAAACCTTACACTTAAAAAATAAGGTATGGATACAGGACGCATCACTGACATATTCCTTCCTGATTTTGAACCACGCAGTGTTTCCTCGCTCTGTTCTGACAACTACCTCCAGGTCCCAGTATAGGTTTTGTATAAACACAAGTAAGTTTTCTGGGATTCCCATTATCCTCAAGGTTAGCCACAATTTCTTGTAATAAACACAGTCAAATGCCTTTGCGTAGTCAATAAAGCACTAATAGACATGCTTCTGGCATTTACTTTCAGCCAGGATCCATCTGACATCAATATGCCTGGTGCAGCAGCCTCTTCTAAATATTGCTTGAACTTCTGGCAATTCCCTCTATATGTACTGTTCTAGTAATTTTTGAATGATCTTCAGCAGTATTTTGCTTGCATGTGATATTAATGATATGGTTTGGTAATTTCCACATTCAGTTGGATCACCTTTCTTGGGAATGGGGATATGAACCTCTTTCAATCCACTGGCCAGACTGCTATTCTCCAAATTTCTGGACATTGACTGGTGAGTGCATTCAAGGATGCAACTATTTATTGAAACAAGTCAACTGGTGTATCATTGTTTCCTGGCATCTTATTTTTGGCCAGTGACTTCAATGCAGCTTCAACTTCCTCTTTCATTACCATTGGCTCCTGGTAATATGGTACTTCCTAAAATTTTTCAGTGTCAATCAGTTCTTTCTGGAACAGTGATTCTGTGTATTGCCTCTGTCTTCTTTTGATGCTTTCTGGATCATGCAATATATTGCCCATAGCATCTTTCAATATTGCGACATGAGGCTTAAATTTGATTTTTAGTTCTCTAAGCTTGAAGCTCAACACCAAGAAAACAAAGATTCTCACCACTGGGCCAACTGGCAGCATCAGTATGGATGGTGAAGAGATTGAGATAGCTAACAGTTTTAGTTTACTTGGTTCCACAGTCAACACCCTTAGTAACAGCATCCAGGAAATCAAGAGAGGAAATGCATTGGGAAAGTCAGCTTGTGAGGGACCTCTGAAGAGTACTGAAGAGCAATGACGTCAGGCTGAAGACTAAGGTGCTCCTGATCCAGGCAGGCTGTGGTCTTCGCAATTACATGCTATGCATCGTAAAGTTGGACAGTGAATAGGGATGATGCTGGAGAAGAGTGTTGAGTATACCAAGGACTGTTAGGAGTATAAACAGGTTTGTCCTGGAGAGGGTGAAGCCGGAATGTTCCTTGGAGTCAAGGATTCTGAAGATTTGCCTGATATACTTTGGGCACATTGCAAGGAGGGACTGGTCCTTGGAGAGGGACATCATGTTTGGGAGAGTGGAGGGACGGCGCAGGAGAGGAAAACCCTCAATGATATAGATTGATTCTGTGATTGGAGTGGTGGGAATGAGTCTGTTTGAGACGGCGAGGTTGGCAGAGGATAGCATGGCATTTAGGGCTCTTGTACATAGGGTCGCTATGAGTTGCAAGTGAATCAATGGCACATAGCAACAACAAAGCTTGAAAAATGCAGAGCAAGTTCTTCCTTTTTTTATTCTCCTGTTCCAGCTCTCTGCCATTCCATACAATAGTTTGTTTTGTCTTCTTGAGTTGTCCTTTGATACCTGCTGTTCAGCTCTTTTACTTTGGCATGTTTTCCTTTTTTTTTGGCTCCATTGCAATTTTTAGAGTTTCTTCTGATATCCATTTCTATCTTCTCTGTTTTTGTAATGAACTATATTGTATGTGAGTATATGTGTATGTGTACACATCTGTTCTGTAATTTGAACAAAAAAGTCTTAGTGGATTGGCATGGTCAAATTTAGCATCTACTGAACACACACACACACACACACACACACACACACACACGTAACTCTGGTGGAGCAGTCCATATAGGGAGCTGTGCTGCTAACCTAAAAGTGGTGTCTCTTTGGAGGTTTGAACCAATCAAGAGCTCCTTGGGATCATCCTCTCATGGGATTTACAGCTGTAGGAAACCACTGGAGGGTCAGCTATGATTTGGTTAGACAATGACTTTGAATTTTCCAGTTTACAGCATACACACATACATTTTATAAGATTGGCTAAGATGAAAAGGGATGCTTGATTAAATTTATTTCCAAGTCTAAACTAGCATAAATCAAACACTGCATATGAAATTGTCAAACTTCCTGATTCTTTACCCATTATTCCTCTTATTGAAGTCTCTCCCCACACACCCATACTCACTGTGGGATGTTTCCTAAATGCAAATTTAATTGAACCAAAAATAATACTTCTAGGGCCAAACCTATAATTAGCATAGTCAAACCCCATACACTTAGGGTTCATGTGAGCCCTAGAGGTTCTAATTTTCTACAGTTGGAACTGTAAGCCATGACTGTGTAAAGAACTATAAAACATATGTAATTTAAACAAACAAAAACCTCTTAGTGCTTTGGCATGGTCAAATTCAGCCAATTAAACACAGTTCATAAGTTGTTTATTTGTGATGTTGAATCCATTTACAACCCTTGGTGGGATTTTCAAGGCCAGACAATATCAGCATTTCTGGCTGGCCAGGATCTGGCAGCTTGCCCAACATTACCCCAATAAGCACATCTACATTTGTTGTACTGAATCAGCATCCAGGCATCCTGCAAGTCCATTCCATAACTTTCCTTATTTACACATTGGTTATTCTTGTGTTGCCTTAAAACACATGCAACCAACACTTTACTGAATGAAAAACAAAAATGTGTCCAATATTTGTGCTATTTTACCAACTTTAGAGTCTACTCATTTTAGATGTGACTTTAATGGAAATTGGTTTATAATAAAGACTGACAACAACTGTGACAAAAATTAAGGATATAGTATTAAAATAAATCAAATGATATGCACTACTCTCATTATTCTGATACAGAATTTTTATACATCGATATCAATATAGGTACAAAATTGGCAATCCATTACAACAGTTCTTTCAGTTACAAATAAAGTGAAAATTACAATTACTGATTTTTAAATGAATGTCATGCCAGATTAAAATCAATATTTGCCACATTAGTAACATCTTACTTAGTAACACTTTCTAGAACATTTTTAACTATGAGACTTAAAAAAAATCATTAAAGAGATAAATTAGTAGAGCTGTACTGGAGAAGTCTTTCAAAAAGCCAAAGCCAAGTCTAGGGATAATTCTTTTTCTGCCATCACACCAGTCAGACAGTGGATCTGAAGACTGCGTGGATGACAGGTTAAGGGGCAATCAAGAAAAACACTCGCTCCACCAGAGTATATTTTAGGAAGTTCACATGTATGCAAACATGCAAATGTTGGTGATGATTGAGGGAAATAGAATTAAGGAGGGAGGACGGTAGATTATGCTTATATAAAAAATTCAAAACTCCAAATGAAACAAAAACACAAACGGATAAATGAGCACCAGTTTCACTATGCTTTGCACTTTTACCTATTTCTATGCCAAATTAAAATTCTTTTTCAATTAAAAAACTGATTTAAAAAGCAAAGATAAATTTGTTACTTGGAAAGTTTGAGGAAGTAATAGTATTTTTTTCTCCATATTATTATTGTTTGGCACAATTCACAAACAAGACTTTACAAATATCATGTGGTTATTCACATATGAACTGAATACATCTGAAGTGATTACTTTCGAGGTAAACAAATAAATCTACTAAATGAAGTCCGTAGACATGCCAATCCCGGCAGACAAGGACAAGTGTGATGCATTCTCCGCCCAAAAAATGGAACCTAAAATTTAAGAGGAGAACTGAGTCAGAGCAAGAAACATTTCAAAGCCAAACAAGTTTGACAAATCTTTTTAAATAATAACAGATTGTTGTTGTTGTTGTTGTTGTTATGTGCCATCGACTCGCTTGCAACTCATAGTGACCCTATGTACAACAGCCCTAAACTCTGCTCTGTCCTGTGCCTATCGCATTGTCTCTGACACTCCCATCCTGATTACCACAGTAAGTGCATCAATCCACTTCATAGAGGGCCTTCCCCTCCTGCACTGTCCTTCCATCCTCCCAAGCATGATGTCCTTCTCCAAGGACTGGTCTCTCCTTACAACATGTCCAAA